GAATGAATGAATTAATGAATTCAAAACAGGCGTTTTATTTATTTATCTATGTTTGTCAAATTTTTATTAATAATCTCATTCCGTTTTTATAAACTTACATTACATACTTATCAACAATTGTAGCTAACTGTGAACGAACGAATGAATAAACAAATGAATGAATGAATGAATGAATGAGCAAACAAACGAATGAATGAATGAATTTGAGACGGTCGAAATCTGAATGATGGAATTAATAATTTAATTGATTGATCGATTGATCGGTCGATCGATCGATCGATCGACCGATGGATTGGTTGATTGATTGATTGATTGATTGATTGATTTGCTTTTTTGTTGTTATGCATAAGTTTGAATACTTTTGACGAGTTTCTGTCAAACAGTATTGTTGCAGATGTTGCAATAAAGGCAGACTCATAACATGGGAGAAACCTTCTCAGTTTTTTCTACAAAATTGAATTTTATTTTACAAGACAAACAAAACAAAACAAACATTTTTTTAAACAAGACAAAATACAATTCCAGATGATACACGCTCTTGTTTTTATTTGTACGTAAAACCAGGTATTCGGGTATGTTTATTTGTATATCGAGTAGGCATTTGAAACATACAAAATTAAATTTTCAAACAAAACCAATAATACTGATAAGTAGACTTGTGATTAGAAACTCATACACAGACACACATACAAACACACAAACATACAGAAACGCATCCACCCAGACTAACATACACACAAACAAACACTTACACATACAAACACACATATACAAAGATATATTTACACATAGTAACAGATGTCTACATTGTAGTTAGCATGAGATTATTTCTACGTCCAAGAGATTACTTATATAGGTTCAGTTCAGAACTACACAGATCCGATAGAACTCTCTCTATCTCTCTCTATCTCTCTCTCTCTCTCTCTCTGTGTGTGCGTGTGTGTGTGTGCCAGCAAAAGCTTTTTGTAAACATAGAAAACCTGTCACTAAGTTCAAATTTTTGTTTGCAGAATGCAGAATGACGTATAGTGTGATGTGGGGTATGCCATTTAGAAATATTTTGTTGATTCATTCGTTCGTTCGTTCGTTTATTCATTCATTCGTTCGTTCATTCGTTCGTTTGTTCGTTCGTTCATTCAATCAACCAACCAACCAATCAATAAATCAATCAATCAAGCAATCGACTAATCAATTAATCAATCAACTAATGAATGAATCAAATTGAATGAACCAAATGAATGAACCAAATGAATGAACCAAACGAACGAAAGAACTATGGATAAACCAAGATACTCACAAGGCATGTTGAAGAGCAATCCAATTCAACCGTACATATCTAGAAACAGTTTCGAAATTTTAGTAAAAAACGAAAAACATAACAGTTCCTTTTATTTGATATCAAAAAATGGCGAAAAATTAAAATTTAAAAAAATTAATTTTTAAAAAACTTCGGATTTCAATCAAACAAATGTAACACCCCTCAGAAGTTCTCAGAGGATGATTCACGTAGCATGAACATTTAGTAAAAACAGTTCACAGCATATCATAATGACTAAATCAACATACCAAACAGAAATTTATACATGCACCAAGTAAATAAGAAATATCCAAAAATTATATAACCAAAATAAAAAAAAAACTAGAAATCAGTCAACATTTTACAAACAAATAAATAGACATTATTAAAAAAATTGTTCAAAAAAGTAAAATTTAAGGCGACGACGAAAAAAAATATATGTATAGTGTTTTGTTGGTATGGTTCTGTGAAGCGAAAACAAACAAACACACCACACAAAATTAGTAAGAAGTCGCATGAATAGTAGTCAGCCACCTACCTACAATTAAATTACTCTCAGGGCCCTAGCTTACCTATAATGATTAACTCAACTCACCTACCTACCTACAAATTTATGTTTCTACGTTTTAGGAATTTTACATGTTTCAGGCATTTTATTTTACATATTTTAGCGTTTTTATTTTATTTAAAACTTTTTAACTAATGTTAAACCCTAGCCCTAGCCTAGATTGTTCAACTCATCTCATTCCCTAACTTACCTATGAATTAAATTAAGTCCGGTAAAGAAAATAGAAAGTTGAAGAGAAAAATAACAACGACACCGAATGAATGGATGTTGTGTATGTGTGTGTTGTATTGATGTGTGTGTGTGTGTGTGAATGTGCGCGCGTGTACTCTCCAGAAACTTCTTGACTCGCTACTGACGAACCTCCATTACATTTCATCTGACACGCACCGATGGAATAGTGAATTTGACCGGTTACCGAAAAACACTAAATTGAAAAAAAATTAATTCTTTGAAATAAAAAGCAGGCCATTGAGAAAAATAGGAAAACTTATCTTATCGAGATGACACTCAATCCTTTGTTTAAATTCAAGTACTTTCAATGGTACGATGGGACATAAAAAAATTTACCTTTAATATTATCTCCAAATTGTCATCGGAACGATCATCATGAGACCACCATCTGAAACGTGCTGACGCCCACCACAGCCCACCTCTCATCATTCTGTAGACAAGTTTTTTTATTACCTTAGTAGTAAATCAAGGAACAAAGGAACGAACGAATAAATGATTAACTGAATGATTAAATAGTTAAAAGAATGAATGAATGAATAGAATGAATTAACGTCAATTAATGGAAGAATAATTTGAAAGATTGAGTGAAAAAATAAATGAACGAGAAAAATAAAAATAAACGAAACTAAACCTTATTTCAAAAATCGTCGTTACTGTAATCCATTGCACCGACCACCATCATCTGGTCGGCACACATGATTTCATCCGAACTTCTGAGTGTCAGTCGAACAGCCAACACGCTGATTCTTCCTACTCCACCATCATCATACGTAAATCATCATAAGACCACCATCTGAAACGTGCTGACTCCCACCACTGCCCACCTCTCATCATCCTGTAGACAATTTTTTTTTATTAGCGTAGTAGTAAATGAATGTTAGAATTTTAGAAGCAAAAAATTATTAAGTAAAAATAATGGCAAATAGATAATATCTTAAAATAATAGAGTAAAATGTAAAATAACTTACCGTCGTCCATTCGACAAAGACAAAATGATGAATGCCTTCCGGTTCCTACGTTGTCCTCCAAAACTGGTGCCAGTCCTCCTCGAGATTGTTGTTGAAACACAGCCCGTGGGATGGAGAAAGATAGAAAGAATATTCTCATCAGAAAGCGTAGCGGTGCTTGCATCTCAAATTGCTTAATAAAAATAATCCTATCTACCTATTTAATTACCTTAACTAATCAATATTAAATTGTTAATGGTACGATAGTCGAAAGCCCTCCTTCATTCTCCCTCCTTGCACAGAGGCTCACCGACAGCCAGGGCACCGGGTAGTAAACCATTGCCGTGCGGATAGTAGACTATTGCTGTGCGGATAGTAAACCATTTGCCGTCCGGAAGCCGTGCGGGTAGTAGACTATGGCCATGCCGCATAGTAAATCATTACCGTGCAGATAGTAAACCATTGCCGTCCGGATAGTAAACCATTGCCGGTTCACCACTGGCCACCAAGGCTTACCTCTGACAAGAGACTTTGAAATTCAGAGTCTATCGGCTATCGTACCCTCAACTTACCTATTCATTACAATTAAGCCCTAGCTTACCTAAAGTTACAAAACTCAAGAGCCCAATTCATTGGCCTTTCGGCACCCACCCCACCACCTACGTAATGCCTTGGGTTCCAACTTAGTAATAATAATATAAAACTTAAACCCTAAATCTATTAATGAGTATGTGTTACAACGTAGCCTTAACTTACCTATTCATTACATTACGGCCATAGCTTACCTAATATTACAAAACTCAAGAGCCCAATTCATTGGCCTTTCGGCACCCACCCCACCACCTACGTAATGCCTTGGGCTCCAACATAATAATAATAATGTAAAACTAATAATTAACCTACCTATCGATACACTTACAGCGTTTTAATTTACATTACAAGATTGTTCCTAGAATTACATTATTGCCCTTAACTACCTATGAAATTAAATTACTCTCAACCTTAGTAATAATAAATTAGAATGTGTAATGAAAATAAAATTACGCTCAAATACTAACATATGTGTTTATGTATGCAATTGTGTGTGTGTGTGTGTGTGTGTAATACGA